ACTTCCGAGCCTGCTCTACAACCTGACATAAACAAATATTTCGAAGCTTGAAATAAATACTTAATGTCTGAAGTGTCGCGTTACGCGGACAAGCCGATAGACGAATTGCTATTAGTCAATCAAATTTTTTTACTTGTACTATTGAGTTAGCTGATCAAAATTTATTTTCTCAAAACGATGATGCTATTGATTTAGATGCGCTTTTAGGACCAGTTTATTCAACAAGAAAAAGAAAAAGAACAAGTCAAGAAGTGCCATTCGATAGTGCGAATAGTGATCTAGAAATCAGTGATGATGAGCAGGACAAACTCTGGCAGTCGAAATCAATGTCTTCTGATAAAAATAGTAGAAATAAAGATGAAAATGATGTTGCTTGCCAAAAAGAAGAATTATTACGAAGGTTTCTTCATATAAAGGATGAGTATCATATAACAGATAATGCTATTAAAGCTATGCATAAGTTTTTTAGAGAAACCAAAGTATCATTTTATTCGATGGCTCAAATCGATCGAGTACAGAAAAAAGCTAATAAAAATATTCCTTTAAAATACACTAAAGATTCAGCATATGTTCCGTTCGAATTTGCTTTACGAGCTGCTGTTTTTGTTGCTGCTAAATTTCAGCCTGATCTTTTGAAATTGAATCATCTTTCATTTCGTTTAAACATGGATGGCACCTTAATGGGTAACAAACACGTCGTAGCCATATCCGTTAATTGTGTTGACGGAGGACCGTCCTGTCAGACAGCTAGAAAGCTAGTGCCTGTGGGTATTTTCGAGATACAAAAAGAATCTAATGAACTTTTGAGAAAAACTCTACCGAAAGATTTTCTTGATTCGATTCAGTCAGTAAAGCAGTTGCAAATTAATCAAAAAAAAAGTGTTACGGTTAAAATTCGATTAGGCGGCGATTATCAGAACGCGGTATATGTATTCGGCTTAGCAGGTGTTCACTGTAATCATCCGTGCGTTTTTTGTACCCAGCATAAAACTTATTTGCATGTTACTGATAAAAATACAGTTTGCGAAAAAGAGATATGGGTAGGATCAGGAAAAAAGAGAAAAAAAGAAAAAGAAAAAGTAATTGTTAATCCTACTTCAGTATACGATAGAGCTTTAGGTGCTAGAACACTCGAAGACAAGTGTGAATATTTAAAACAAAAAGAAAACAATAGATCAAATAATGAATTAGGATATCAATCAGAACCTCTTTTTGGAGATTTATTTGAGTTTAGCGATTATGTACTGGATACTCTTCATATGAAATTAAGGATTTTCGACATTATTTTAAAAGATATTTTAGCTGAAGCTTCACGAACAGGAGAGTATGAGCCAGCACATACGAAGAAGCTTGAAGAAAAAATTGACGTTCTGAATAAACATGCTACGAATACTATTGGAAAGCGATTTTTTTTTAAACTTGAAACAGAAAATAACGTAAAAACAATTGTTTCTTGTGGTCGATTTTCAGGTCATTTGCAAGAAGTATTTTTTGTTGACATGTTTCCATATGAAAAAGTAATTGAAAACCTGGATAGTTCGAAAAATGCGAGAAACCTAGTCAATAAGTTTAAATTCATTCTTCAATTAATTAAAACGGAAAAATCGAAAAGAACAAGTAATTTGGCTAAAGTTGCGAAGTCATTTGTGAAAGATTTTCGTCTTTCAGGGCTACGAGCAGGTTGTACTCCTTATATGCATTTGATAGGTACACATTTAGCCGAGCAAGATAAAAACGAAGATCTGCGAGCGTATGATATGCAAGGAGTTGAAAAATCGAACGATTTACTCTCTCGTCTATATTTTTCATCTAGTAATCGAGCGAGAAATCCATTAAGAACAATGATTCAGAATTTGTACAGACGGCTTGAAATGAATTTCGCTGATCCTAAGGATCGTGCAGCGATGAATCGATATTCCCTGAAGGGAACATGGACCACTACTGATGATGAAGAAGACAGCAATAGCATAGATGAAATTTCCACCTGTTCTTTCAGTTCCATTCAATCAGATGAATCTTCTGTTGATGATAGTGAGGAACAAGAAGAAAATGATGAATTAGAGGACGACGATGTCGATCAAGCTCCTTACTATGTAACACAAAACAGTTTTGCAGCCAATCGAACAAAAAATCGTTGGAAAAGTTTCAAGAAAAATACGACTATTGAATTTGAAAACAGTTAAATATTTTTTTCTATACCCTCCAGTATGGCCGGTATATGAATACTTACTAGGGATAGATGTTAGACAATGTGTATATCTAGTTACTCACGTAAACATAGAGTTTTGTTTTATCTCGCATTACTCAATGTGTTTTTAAAGTACGTGGAAATCATTGAGATCATGAATTTGTAGAAAGAATCCTAAAGTTTTGCATGAAGTAATTCTTTTTTGTCTCTTCGTCGTACTGAAAAGAAAACAGATCTATAGATATGTTGTCTTTATGATGAAATATGATCATTTTTGTAAATCAAAAAATAATTTTAATTAAATGCAAACGTTAGAATGAGTTCCATCATCAATAAGATAATCTCTGATATGTTTGCCTATACAATGACTATTGAGAAGTTAGAAAAACTGTTGTTTTTTGCGAGTTCTTTTCAGAATTGCTGTAAATCTATTCGTCCTTTTTCTCGAAAAATAATTGAAAACCTTTTAGAGAAAAGTCTTTAGTTCACAAATTTTGTTCTTATTTTGTAGAGCCACATATTCAATAGATCTATCATAAATTCTGCTTTACGTTTTCAACTAGTTTCTGAAAAGTTAGCTTCTAACATTTATTATAAGCTTACTTTTTTATTGTTATAGATGAATACGCAACTTTGTTTCAAAAGTCTTTATGAACTTTGTAAATGCCCGTTGCAAACTCACTTAATAAAGGACATGCCAATCGTCGATGCACATTGTCATTTGGATGATTTCTTTAGTAATCGTTTGTTCCTCGAGTCATTATCGGCTTCTAATGTTCGTAAAGTCTATGCAGTGTCCAACAAGCACAAATATCAAAATTGGCATAAACTTATTTATATTGCATGTGAAAATATGTACGTGTATGAAAGTTTCGGGATTCATCCCAAATACCTTCCCGAACACGATTTAAATGCAAAACTTATTCAGCTAAAAAGCATTGTTAGTAAAAAAGAAAATCCAGTATCAGGTAGACCAATAGTTGGTATTGGAGAAGTCGGTTTAGATGAGACTAGTAAATTTTCTATAATGGATCAAAAATTAGCTCTCGAAAGTCAGATTATTATAGCTCGTCAAACAGGTTTACCGTTAATCTTACATTGTCGTGGCCATTCTCTTTTTCGTCCTTTATTTGATTGTATTTCGTCTCTTTTGCCAACAAATCATCCAATTCAATGGCATTGTGTCAAATCTGACAGTGATTTGACTGTAATAGATAATTTTATTTTTTCTTTTCCGAATTCAGCAATCTCTCTCAATGGGGGAACAACATTAATAAAGGATATCGATCAGGATAAAATATTTAAAAAATGGATCAGAAACCATCCGAATATACTTGATCATTTAGTTCTTGAAACTGATTGTCCTTGGCTTTGCCCTCAGGGTCTTTCTATTCAGGAATATAATCCTTGTACAGGAATTTTTGTAACATCCAAATGGGTAGAAAATACATTGAGAGCTCCAGGAAAAAATGCGTCAAAAATTATTCAGATCGCGAACCACAATGCTCAAAAAATTTTTCGATTCTAGACATATACGTATAGAAGATAAATCTGATTTAATATCATACAAGATAAAGTAGCTGCCGACAAATAAGAATATATATATACATTAGTGTAAATATAGTAGAGCGTAGGAAAACTTAAAATACCTTTTGTTGACATGTCTTCCTTCTGGCCGAATGTCACAAAAGAAAAACATATATATAATGTCAAAAAAAATATTAAAAATTATCAAAAACTTTAAAAAAAGCCTTCCAAAATATTTTTTGTTAATTGATCCGCTTATGTTTTACTGCTAATAGTTCTTCTTTTTTATTCTGTTTTCTGAAAGATAGCTGCATGTATTTTTTAATTGTACAATAAAACATGTATTCATACTATCAACCAAAAAAAAATTTCTTTTCCTTAATATTATTTGCTGATGCTCCTTTAATTGCTATGCTTGTTCAAGTTTTTTTTATTATTTGTCAAGGATCAAATTGGTGTTTGCCGATGGTGCGTGCAAACAAAACCCAACTGATCCTGACCCTTTTGTTTCATTATCATGGATCACTACTCAATTTAACTTAGATTGCAATGAAATGTCTATTTAAATTCGAGTTTGTTTTTCATATTCAATGTTATTTAAGGGACAGGAAAAATTCGTCGAAATCAATCTTTACAACAAGAAATTTTTCAAAAAAAGGAACTAATATCATATTTCTTTCATATTGCCATTCTATTTATTTTAGTATTTTATTTTTTATTTTTCTTGAAGTTGAATAGGTATCAAATAAATAAGCTGTCTATCATCATTATTCAATAGACAAAATGCAGAACAAATACCCAATAAGATAGGTAACTTTCTATTGAACGAATTTACTATTGCATTACTTATGTTTTAGTATATGTCAAAACAAGATCCTATGTGCTTTTAAATCAATCCGACAAAACCTATCTACCAATCTTCAACTTTTATTTCTTATCACGTTTCTTTTTTATAATTTTATATTCAACTGTAATATTTATCGAAAGTACGAAGAGGAACGATGGCAAACAACGTCAAAATGTTTTTTCAGCAACAATTGATCGGAGTTTCATCATAATGAATTTTTTAGTTTATTTGAATTTTTTTAATAAATTGTTCTATATATTTCCGAATTTTTCTCAAATAAATTAATTCAAAACAGTTGAAATAAACTAATAGATGGGTCTAAAGTAAGACAGTGAAGTGAAAATGACTTAAAAGAAGCAAAGGTGAATTCACAACATGTTCTTATAACGATTGATTTTGAGCTGCATTAAGCGAGAGAAAAAAAATGTGATGTTGAAAATACATGTCAGTTACTTTTTCATCTACTTCATCGAATGAGTGATATTAAAAAATAATCAATAGCCAAGAAATGAAGAAAAAATATATTAGTTATTCAAACATTGAAGATCCATAGTGAATTTTTGCATGGGTTTATATAAAAGTGAGTTAGAGAGAAAAAGCTCAATATATTTTCAAATAATATAGTGTATGAATAGAAAAATTCGAAATAGAAGGTATTTTTTCAATGTGCTAAGTGCATGACTGGATTTTAATTTTGAAAAAATTATTCGATGCTATTAAGATTATTATTTTCATTGCTTTAACCTTATTTATAGATTCAGTGCGCATCATTTTTAAATCTTTTTTATTATTCGAATTATCCTTACATATGAAATATGGCTATTGAAGATTTTTTTTTCTTTCCTATAGCATGTATACGTCATATGCGAATGTTTTACACATAAATACAATCGCGTGTGCAATAGAAACAAGAGAAAAGAGAGAAATATATAGAGAGAATGAAACATCATTGCTATTATGCTGGAGAATCTCTTTTTTCAAATTTTTGCTGGGGACTTGGAAGTAC